ACTCTTGTGCAATGAAAAATTGCAACAATATTTCTGGATAGATATCTGAGCTTAGTTTTTTCTTTTCTGTGTGATCCAGAAAGGTAAAGGAAACGAATGAATTGTTTAGCATTAAACTTTTATAATTAATTTTTCAAGGATTTTTATAGTTAATTTATATTTATATATTTATAAGCTTTAGAGCTCTATCTTATCTTATCTCTTATCTTTTAGAGCTCAAGTATGATTAACAAATTGTGATCGTACCATTGAAACCTCAATAGATAATCTACATAAAAACTATCATATTTGTGCCAAACATTTTCAAGATTCCATGTTTTTAAATAATCTATGAAATCGTCTCCAGCCACATGCAATTCCAATATCATTAACAGATCATAATTTTAATGATTTGTCCTTAAAATTGATGCTGAGATATTATTTTCAATAGTAAAAATTTTATGATACTTATACTTTGTAATATATTTGATCAAAGACAATAACTATATTCTTCTAAAGTCTAGTTGATCAAATTATTAATGAAAAAGAATATTCAATTGATATATGATAAATATAATAAACGAGATGACACTGTATCACAAGAATAATTACAAGAACAAGAAGTTCCAAATGCAAATAGAATATGATAAACAGGATGAAGAAACACAAACAAATGCAAAATTTACAAATAATTTGCCGCGGAAACTAAAACTAAAAAATAAAATAATTCTTTACAAAAGAAATTATTATAAAATAAAAGAATTGAAGAGACAGAAAAATAATATTTAAAAAAATGTAAAGCAGTGTTCTATAGAAGAATGTAATATAACCGATCAATTGTTGCCACCAGCCATTGCAACATTCGTTAAGGTACAAGTACAGTTAATAAACAATTATACATTTAATCGTTTTAATTTTTGATCATTGTGATATGTGACTGAATTTCATTCTATTACAATATTTATTTGATAATTTTTATTATTGTTTATTAATAATCATACTTATTTTTTTTTTAATATTTATTTCTCAATATATTTATTTATTTATTATGTATTTTAATGATTACATATATAATATGAACATAATAGTAAAAGTAAAAATATTTGAAAAATAAATACAGAATGATATATGTGGATTTACAGTAATTGTAAATAATGGATATTATTTTATTTTATTTCTTATTTTAATTTAATTTTTTTAATTTTACTTTTAAGAACTTTTTATTCTATTATCTAATTCTATATTATTTTAATTCTTCTATATTACTTATTTTTTCCAGAATAGCAGTTATTATGATTATTATTAGGTGTACAACTTTGCTTCCGCCGTTTTCCAAAAGATGGCTTTAGCGGTAAGTGGTGGTCGAAATAAATAGATCATAGACGTCATACAATAAACTTGGGCATCTGTCAACATAACCCCATAGAAATATTAGTCGATTTGTGTCTGCATCATAAAGTTATTCTCGATTGAAAATGTCAGTTTACGAGCCAAATCCTCGTCATTTGCGGGAGGTTTTAATTTTTTGCTTCAATATGAAGAAATCTGCGGCTCATCGAATGCTCTCAAATACTTATGGTGAGGCCGCTATTAGTGAAAGAACATGTCGTGAGTGGTTTCAACGCTTCAAGAACGGTAATTTTGACGTTCAAGGTCATGCTCTGTATTTGGTGGGGCCAGCTCGGCGTAGTGTATTATGAACTGTTAAAACCGACTGAAACAATCACAGGCGATCGGTATCGAACGCAATTGATGCGTTTGAGCCGAGCATTGAAAGACAAACGGCCGCAATACAACGAGAGACACGATAAAGTGATTTTGCAACATGACAAGGCTTGATCCCATGTTGCGAAAGTGGTCAAGACATACTTGGAAACGTTGAAATGGGAAGTCCTACCCCACCCGCCGTATTCTCTAGACGTTGCTCCCTCTGACTATCACTTGTTTCGATCAATGGCACACGGCCTGGCTGACCAACACTTCCGGTCTTATGAAAAAGTAAAAAATTGGATCGATTCGTGGATAGCCTCAAAAAATGACCAGTTTTTTCGACGCCGGATTCGTACGCTACCCAAAAGATGAGAGAAAGTAGTGGCCAGCGATGGACAATACTTTGAATCATAAATGTATAACCAGTTTTTTACAATAAAGCCTCGAATTTTGGAAAAATTCGGCGGAAGCAAAGTTGTACACCTAATAAATAAAGTAAAATTTTCCTTTAAAAATATATCTGTAAACACCTTGTTTTATATGTATATATACACGCACGCATGCACGCACGCACGCACGCACATATATTTCAATAACAGTACATTTTATGACAAATGAGTAGTTTATTTTATATATATAATTTCATTTACCATACGGTTTTCCAGCAAGAAATATAGATGACATAGCTTAAAACAATTACTCAATTTGATCCTTATTGTTTGCAATATTAAACAAAGATGAAATAATTTATTGTGATACTTTGTATCATATGCGTTTTTTATTTAAAAACGCTCATATTAATCAGTATCGTAATTTAGCTAAAATATTTAAATGTGAATGTGTACAGTTCTCAAAACCACAGATCATGTGACTTTGTCTCTCCTACATCAAAAATACCAACGCTCAGTATCGCAACTAATATACCTAGACTGTGATTCTACTAACATTCAGGTGGGAACGCCGCTTGATGGGAGAGGGAAGGATTGTAATCCCTTGCCCTCCCCTCTCCCAATGTAACCGTAGCACATACATTCATAACTGTTAAAATCTGATACGATCGGATGTTACGTCAGCGATCAGAATTTCGCGTGTAGGTACTTGGGATCGGACGTATTTTGATTCGACTGATCTAATTGAGTTTCGTTCTTATCAAGTGTCGCGTGGGTGTTTCACTTGTCGGGTTCAATTGTTATTGCTGGCTTTCGTAGTCGATCTAGAAAGAATTTTTATATAACGTGCTGATCCGTTTGGATTCCTTTTTTCACGCAGTCTTTGTGCGTATGGTCGAGCTCCTGGATCGGAGGGGGGGAGGAGGGAGGGAGGCGTGGGGGATGCATCAAACGAAATTTTTTTCCAGGATCTACTGATTGCCTCTAAACAATCTCTTAGATCTAAATTTCATGCATATCTGAATCACTGTGCAACATTCAAAGGGCAGCTATATGACAAATTCCACAGAAAACAATTCACGTAAAACTTGGTTTTCGAACAAAAAAATTGAAAAGAGAGGAGATTATTAATGTTTCTAGAATTAGTTTCTAGAATAGATCTAATCATTATAACTTAGCAGCATTGAAAGGGTATCATGGATTTCCCAGCCTGCTCTTGTGGCGACTCCAAGCAAAACATCAATCACATCCTCTTTTCTATTGCAGACTGTATATATAAATTTAAGAAACTTCATAAGTATCTTAAAAAATACTTCTCGCTTTATCTTATTGACATACATAAGATTTGTTCGCGTCGCACACTCCAACATGCCTAACAAGCTCTAATACGTTCGCATCATCGGAACCAATATGGCGACTAGATGTTCGCGTCGCGTTAGAGCATACTCTATGGATCAATTAAAAGTACGCTCCATTTGCCTTACCTCAGAAGGTGGTAGGATTGGGGCATGTTACGCATGCATGCGTAATAGTAATTGAATTGAAGTAATTAAAATAAAATAAATAAAATAAAAAGAATAATTAAATAAAATAAATGAAATTA